TCTAGTTTTTCCCCGCACTTCAATCCTTCGGAACATTTCCCTGTGTTTATGCATTCCTGACTCATACAATCTATTACTTTTCAAGTGTTCTGTCAATCGTTACCTTGCTCATGGGTTGTCCATTAATTACGTCAACAAAATAACGGGAGGGAGGGGTTTGAACTTTTTTGACGTGTTGACAAGAGGGAGGGGGGTAGGTTCTTTTTTTGAGTTTCATTGCTTAAATAACGGAAAATTAGGCTGATTTTGTAGCGTAGCTTCTTTGTATAGGGGAGAGGGGGTAATCAAAGATTGACGTAATTTTATAGGGGGGTCTCTAGAAACTTGACAAATTGTTGACAAGGGGGAGGGGGGGAGGTAAAAATTTACGTGGACCCTACCTATGGAATAATATTGTTCTGCAAAATCTCGATCAACCAACTTCCTTTTATTTTTTTTAAGCACTTAAAAAATGTATTTTTTCACTTGATAATATACTTCGATACTCCTAATGTTTTGAAAATTATTATTTGACTTGGGTTTTATTACTTTTTTATTTTTTAATTTTACTTTATTTTTTGTATGTTATATTTGTCTTTATTTTGCTTGCTTGTATTTTTTAAGGTTCTGACGACAAGATCTTGTGATCTTCATTAAGATCCTAGCTTATGTTTAATTGTTAGCAATTTATATATGTGCGCATCTATACATCTGTAAGCGTATCTATACATCAGTAAAGTTTACATTTATATATACGAGTGTTTTTCTTATTTTAATTATACTGCAATTGGATTTTTTTTAATTGTAACACCATATATACGGCATATAATTGTAACACCATATATACGGCATATAATTGTAACACCATATATACGGCATATAATTGTAACACCATATATACGGCATATAATTGTAACACCATATATACGGCATATAATTGTAACACCATATATACGGCATATAATTGTAACACCATATATACGGCATATAATTGTAACACCATATATACGGCATATAATTGTAACACCATATATACGGCATATAATTGTACAGTGACATTTTAATGTAAGCAAAATAAAAAAAAAAAGAAAGGAAAAAAAAAAAAAGTTTTATAGGGATAAAATAAATTAATTAAATTTATGATTAAAATATATTTATAGGGATAAAATTAAATAGGATAAAATTAAAAGGATAAAATTAAAGGATAAAATTAAAGGATAAAATTAAATAAAATAAAATTAAAGGATAAAATTAAATAAATAAAATTAAATAAATAAAATTAAAGGATAAAATTAAACTTTATTATAACAATTACTAATTTTAAAAATAAGTTTAATGTTATCAAATTTTTAAATAACTTTTTAAAACTTTTAGCCACGGTTCAAGTTGTTTTTAAATATTGTCAATAAAGTTCTAAAAACTAGGAAACACTTTGTTTACTCTGTTTACACAATCAGAGTTCTAATTTGTTAAAACTACGCAAAACAGCTGTGAAAATTTTCAATAATACTTTCCAAATACATAAAATCACCAGAAGATTTAAAGAAATGTTCTTCAAAATTTAGTTTTTTGGCATATTACGTTTTTAGACATGGCTTTCACAAATTTTTCAAAATATTTAGCGACGCCCAAGAAAGTTATTTATTTTATTTCAGGATACAAGTGATGTGCGGCTAAAATTTTAAGAGCTTCTTGGACACCGCTCCTCCGCACACCAGTGAATTTGTCAAATAAATGTTTATTTTATGTATTACATATTACAAAATTACTTTTTTAAAAAGAACTCTAAATCATATTTTGGTTAGTAGTAGGTGGAATTGTTGTGGTAGGTCGTACTCTGTAATCATCCTTTTTTTTTTTTTTTAACATCGCTTACAACAAGGCTGCAAGCAACCACTAATTAGCGTTGGAAGTTACTGGAAGAGAAAAGATGAAGATTGTAGAGCAAGACAACGATTGACAGACGGCTTAAAAGATTGCAAATAATATGAATCAGGAAAGCAAGATGAAGGAATTCCAAAGAACTGATGTTCAAGGAAAAAAACAAGACAAATAAGAGTTTTTAGAACACTTAGGAACAAAAAAAGAATGAGACTGACGAATGATGACGTTACAAGAACAGTAACAAAAAAAGAATGAGACTGAAGAATGAATGACGAGTAACACGAGAATGAATTTTAGTAGGTGGCACAAGAGACGCTAGCTCTTTAGAGCAGTGCTCATTATTGTATTTGTAGAAAAGAGAAAGAGAAGTAACATTACGGCGATGTGACAAAGGTAGAAGGTTGGCAGCAAGAGCAGGTCCAACTATGTTTACAATGCGTTTTTGCACCTTGTCTAAAAGAAAAAGGGCATCATTAGAAGATCCGCCCCAGATATGGCAACAGCATTCCATACAAAGCCGGATTTGAGATTTATAGAGATAGAGAATATAATCCAGAGTAAGAAAGTGTCGAGCTCGATAAAGAGATGCAGTTTTAGCAGATGCTAATTTTGCAACGGACTTGATATAAGGTTTCCAAGAAAGATCAAAAGTAAGAGTTAATCCTAGAAGATGAAGGGCAGATAATTTATCGAGTACATTACCGTTCATAAATATAGGAAGGTCTAAATTATTGTGATAACGATTGGCTAAAAAAAATTGAGTTTTATCTGAATTAAATTTTACCAGCAACTGTGAGCCCCATGCTGTAGCAGAAGTGAGATCCTTTTCAAGCTCAAATGCCCCCTGCATGCAATCAGAGGGAGTTGGCTTCTTATCGTGACAAGAATAAATGGTAGTATCATATGCGAACAATGCCACCTTAGATGTGAGAATATCTGGAAGATCGTTAATGTAAATTAAAAAAAGTATAGGGCCAAGGATTGAACCTTGAGAAATCCCTGAATGGTGAATTCTGAGCCATCTGCTGAATGGTGAATTCTGAGCCACGAATTAAAATGTTGCAGTCTCCAAAATTCAGCGGCAAACCCATCAAATTAATGCTTATTAAATCTGAAAAATGTCTTATATTAAATTTGATCTTTTTTGGTGCATATAGTAATCATGAGGGGAAAACCACGTTCATCTTCTGCGGAGCTTATTGCAATTGTGTTGATAAGTCTTTTTGTCCTTGCGATTGTTTCAGGAGTTTTATTTTTCATTGAAAATGATTTTTTTTAATTGACATTTGTACATCCCCAACCCCCATCCTTCTTACTTTAAAACTCGTGTCGTTGGCGCTAGTATTACTCAGTATAAATAGTTGCAAAAATTATTAGAAAATATTTAAATCTTATGAGATTAAATATTTTCAAAGAACATAAAAAATAAATTTAAAAGTAAAAAAATCAAAAATATTGAAAATATTTTTATAGGCATATTAAATTATATATAAGCTATATGAAAATATAAATGATATTTTCAATGAAATAAAAGTTTTTTCTTTTTTTTTAAAAAAAAAGTTTTTAATCTAATAAAAAATAAAACTTTTATAGTATAAGGTAGAGGGAGGGGGGGGGGGTTATATGCGTTATATTTCTTTTCACAACTTTGTGATAGAGCTAAGCTAATTAGTAAATTGAAAGAGACTCACAAAAAATTTTAAATGCAAAAATATTTGGTAGAATTCAAGTCACATCTATTATAAAGTTATAATCAAAGCGAATAGCTATTTTTCTAGCACATTTTTGACATTTTAAAGATTAATTCAAATTTTGCATAAAATTGCGAGACAAGATACAAATATTCATTTTCAATAAAAATTAATATTTACGCGAAATAAAATATGCTTATACTTTAATCTTTTATTACGACAGTTGTTTTAAAGGTTGATCAAGTTAATTTTTTCGTTTGAATTATTACAAACAGGTAAAACATGTGGAATTAGCAATACTATTATAAATGAGTTAATTTTATAAATAACTTAAAGTATCATCAAATACCTATTTAAAACAGATTATTGTAAAATGGTCTATTTGTAATACTATAAAATTATTAATCCCACAAGTTTTATCAATTAACTAAATCATGTAAATGTTGTGTTATATTGTCATTTAAAATTATATATAAATATGTTATAGCTATTAATAATTATGTCATAATATATTGTAAATATAAATGTCATTTGTAATAGATTAAATTTTATCTTCAATGTTACCATTTTTCTAATAATAGTTCTAAAGAAATTAATGCTATTAATAGTAGAGATAATAGCTATAATAAAAATTGCAATTGTGTTATATTAATTGAAAAATATTATTTTATATTAGATATAATTGAAATATATTTAATATAAAATAGTATTTATCTCAATATTATGTTTATAGCACATTTTAATAAAAGAACTGATTAATTTAATCATGTGTATACATACAATAATATAATTTTGAATTTTAAACTTTGATTAATATTTTCTGCTATATGGCTATGAGTAATATGATAAAATTTTATATATATTTTTGCAGAAATTTGTTTATAAAAAAGATTTTTATTTATCATAATTTCACCAACTTTATAAAATAAATAATAAACAATACTGTTATGTGTGTGTAAAACTTTTGTTACACACAAAACTTGTTGTGTGTAATTACTATAACATATTTCTATATAATTATATAAAACAATATAATACAATTGTAACACTGTGCAAACTTTTAATAATTTATCAAATATAAAACAAGTTTTTTTTTTACTTTAGTTCATTTTTTTATTAAAAACACTGAACTCTTATTATTATATCTAATATATATTTCCAACACGCAAAAGTTATTCTGAAAGAATATTTTAAAATGAATCATTTTATTTTTCGAAAATACAAATTTTTCATACAGTCAATTGGGGGTCACCCACAAATTATGTCACGCAATTTTTGGCATTTGATATGCAATATAAGATTTATTATGATAAATTGATAACAATATATGGAGATTAAAAATTCAAAAATTTCAAACTTTTTTAACTTTTTTTTTTATTATTAATTTCATAATATTTTTCTATACATTATGCTAAAACTTTTATTTTTCAGCTGTGATTGAATTTTATATTTGTACATTCTTATAATAGATAGCATAATGACATTATAGGGCAAACTAAAATTGTTGACCACAAATAATGACATTATAGTACTAACCAGAACGTTGCCATTTCAAGATAGCTATTTGGATACTATTCATTATTATTTTTTTGACCTGGTGTGTAAGTACACTTTATGTGATTACTAAGTATCTGTTTTAGAGGTTTTAATTTCACAGTATCTTTAGGAAATATAGCCAAACTTTAATTGTGAAACATGGATATTTTGGAGATACTGTTTTCTTTCTTATCAGGGCAGAATAGTTGACCGAATTAAACCAAAATAAGAAAATATATATATTAATTTTATTTGTCATAACGGTACTGTTGCTTTAATTTTTTATCTTTAAGTCATGGTTGTAAAGTTTGATTGGTTTATTTTAAGTCACGGCTATGAATATTATTGGTTAATTTTGAAAGTTTTATTTGTACCAATTTAAAAAGAATTACAGTTTTACATTGCACATTTAGCCTTGTGGTATCTCAATGGTTCATATATCTTAGTAATTCGGGATCGAATCCTTCACATAGAAATTTTTTTTTAATGTTTTTAACTATATTTTAATGTTTTTAACTATAGAAAGATATTATTATTGTTGTATATTGAAAGTTACATTGATTTTCATTATTTGTATTGACTGATATAGGGATAGACGCAATGAGTGTACATACATTTAGGAATAGGTGCAGTGAGTATACATACATTGACTGATTTAGGGATAGGCGAAGTGGAGCCCACATACATCAACTTATTTAAGGATAGGCACAGTATAGTGCACATACATTGATGAAGGGTTTTAGTTTGGGCACGCATTCTTTAAATAAAAGAAGAAAAAAATCAACCGATCAAAAATCACTGCCGTGATTTTAAGAAAAAAATTAAAGCAATGGTATGGTTGCGCTAGAAACAGCGTAATATAAAAGCACCGTACTTTTTTACTTGTGCAAAAAAATGTCAAATAATTTCTTTGTTTTTTATATATTCTATTAATATATTTATTAATAAATGTATATTAGTGATAATAGTAGTAATAAACCATCAAGGATTTGCAAAAATAACAGAATAGTACTTAAGCAAAAGACAAAGTGCTTGCATCCCTAATTGAAAATTTAAACTAATAGGCTATTTTTTACTAATTCTATTTGATACGTTTACTTTATTATTTTTAAGTCATTGAAAACTTATAGAATTACTGAAGCTGCTACTAATCCCTATTTCAGCCTTCATGATACATGATGACCTAAAATGTAATTTCTTAGTGTCAAAGTACTATAACTTTAAATTAAGTTTAGAATTTAAATACATTTTTTTTTCTTTTTTGATTTTTTTAATTAATAAATTATATTTATAGTTATGTCTGCTGAGCAGAAAGAAGAATTGTTGGATGAGTTTTTATGCAACAAGCCAACACCCAGTAACACACAAGACAAATTTTTTGATAGTGTTATTGGTTTTATTGAGGATATCGTAGTCCATCCAGATTTTCAGCACAAGCAAACAAACTTTTTAGATAAGTATTGCCATGAGTTTGAGCATTGTGAAGAAAATAAACTTATATATACTCCCATATTTAATGAGTATGTTAGCATGATTGAGAAACACATTGAAAGTGAACTGGTGCTACGTTTGCCTAAATTTGATATGTCAGAGTTCATGAAAATTCTGCCTGCAAGAAGAAATGAGGTCAGTGAGGAATTATTTGAGATGTTGCTCAGTTTAACAGACTTTTTGATATTTAAAGAATTGATTTTAGACCATAAATCTTATCGTGATGGCAAAGTAGCTGATTTATCATTTGGATTGACTGTTACCTCATTTAGGAAACATTGATAATAAAGCTTAAGATTTTTTGCTTCTACATTTACAATTTGTAATTGAGCTTCTCATATTTTGACATCCAATCAAAATGCAGAAGCAATAAGCAGATTCTAAAAAGTTGTAAATCATTTCTGATAACGAAACAGTCAAAGTTTTAACAAGTAAAAATGTTCAATTTTTTTACAATTAGTTTTCAGCCGATTGAAATATTTTAAATACTACATATATATATATATATATATATATATATATATATATATATATATATATATATATATATATATATATATATACACACACACATATATGTAAGTATGCATGTTGTGTTTTACGGGAAAACGTTCATCTTTGATTACACTTTTAGAGGAAACATTTTATAAAAATTATTTTTCTGATGAAGTTATAAAATCTTTAGTCGGATAGTTTTTTAATTAATTGATAAAATTTTTATTTGTTATATATAAATATAAGCGTAATAAAATTTTGTTATATTTCTTTTTAAAAAAAAACAGAATGTTTTGTTATATTAACGTGTTTTTTTCAGTTTACCCTACCCTAGTTTTAATTTATTATGTTTAGGAGCGCAAATACCCATTTTAAATGCTATCTAAATAACATTTGAACGCATATATATGAAAACTATTAAATATGATAAATTGTGAAAACACAAAAATGATTTAAAATTATTGTATTTAATTAATCGAGTTTAATAAAAATGAAAATAATTTAGTTCTTTTTTTAGATGTAAAAGTATATTTATTATTCCCAGTCTTACCAAGGACGTATTAATAGATGGACGTTTAACGCATTGTTAGCGCCGCGAGTAAACAAAAACCTCTGCGAGGTATAATTTTTAGCTTCATTTTTCTGAATAATTTAAAAAAGTATACCGACGTTTTTTCCGATATTTTCGCTTTTCTAACTACTTTTTTTAAAAAGTGCAATTACCTATAAAACTCTAACTTTTTTTTTAAATTAATGCATTTTAGTTAATCAGAAAAAGTTCATCTGTTTTAAAATCTCAAATTTCATATCTGAGCACTTGTTAATAAGAACTTTTCATTAATAAAATTTAGAAGTCAAAAATCATATTTTTGTCAAAAAGCGATATGTAGTTTGCAAGAATGAATACTGCAAAGTTAAAAAAAAATTTCTAGATGTAGGTAAAACTGTAGATCATTTATAGATCGAACTATAGATTACTTGTGGTCTCTATTTCCTACACTTAGTTTTCACTATTATTTTAAGTATTTAAATTTCTCATTTTTGTCGAAAATTTTGTCTCACGATTTTGTTTTGATATTTCTCTGTGGTTAACTTTTTTTTTTCCATGTTAAGATTTCGCTTGTTTATAGATCATAAAATGAAAAAGTTTTATTTAATTAAAAACTTTTTAGAGTTTTCAGGTGTTACGGAATGTTTAAATATTTTTTAGGCTCGACGAGACTATTGCTGTTTTGACGCCAAATCAAGTAAAAATAATCTTAAGTTAAAAACAGTTAACATCTGTTCTCTATTGTTTTGCTATTGTTATTTGTAACAATGAATACCGGGATATCTTGGCTTTTAAACAATACGTTAAACGTTCATCTATTAATACGTCCTTGGTCTTACCTAGTTTTTAAATAATCAAAAACATAGGCAAAAACGGGGGCAATATGACTTTTTATATAACAACTAAACGAAAAAATTTAAAACTAAATTAAAACAAAACTGTATTTATATCTTGTGTTTTGCAACACCAGTTTCTTTTTTTAAATATTAAAACGTAATTTTATAAACTAAAGTTTATTTATTGCGTTTAAAAAAATACCTCGGAAGGGTGGCCACTGATCACGGAAATATTTTGGAATTTCATTTAAGTAGCCACCCTACTTGGTTTTGATAGCTTCTAATTGATGGTGCATTTCGGATGTAACTTCTTTAGGAACACTTTTTTTTGACACGTGTTTTTTTGTGTTACTTTAGAGTATTTGGTGGTCTTTAAAATTTTTTTAAAACTGGAGGCAGCAAACGCACAATTAGTCATCTTTTCAGGTCACGTGACTAGTTGACAAATTTATATATTTTAATTTTTATTACAAATTTTTCTACTTGCAAACTGAAAATTAATGCAGGCAATCATTATGATAAAAAACATATAAGCTGATAACAAAACACCAAAACTTTTACGATTTGCAAATGGTAAAAGTTTTGGTGTTTTGTGCGAATGTTTTAACAAAAAAGATCAATTTATGAAGACAAATATTTGCCCTCATAAACTTTTGTGTTAAAACATTCGCTCCGCGATTATTATACCCTTGCACAGTGAGTTAGAATATACCAAAAGTAAGAAAACATCAAAAATTAATCAAAAATAAAATAAATAAATAATCAATAAAAAAAAAGAAATCTACTCATAATCAAGTTGTGCATCTTATGCTTTTGTGGTCAGGGAATCCATTTCGAACATTGAAATTAAGTCTTGATGACTCTGATTGGCGCGCTATAAAATTGCGCAACTTTGATTTTTTGTTTATTGCAGACTTAACATTTTCAGGCATTGTGCAAACCTTAAAATTACGATTATGTAAAATAATGTTTTGCATAAAAATTGTAGTGATTGGTAACAAATAATAACTCAAAAAGTTATCAGCCTTACCCCAAAAGTGTGGGCAATAAGTTAATGAAATAAATTAAAAACAAATTAATAAAATAAAGTAAAAAAAATCCAATCGTTGCCATTAGAATGGCACCAATTGGATTTTTTGGTGTTACAGATTTGACACTACCAGACGTTGTGCAAACTCTAGACTTAATTATGTTTATGTCAAATGATTTCCGAATGGGTTAGATTAAACAAACTATTATTAAATATTGATAAAACTAAATGGATTTTTTTCATACTTATGGTAAAAAGCACCAGCTGCCTAGCAATTTACCTTTCTTTATATCAATGACATAATTATTAAAAGAGTTTTTAGGTGTATATATCGATGAAAATCTTAAATGGAAAAGCCACATTGCTAACTTGTGCAGTAAAATTTCAAAGACTATAGACATTTTATACAAAATAAGAAACGTTCTTGATATACATACTTAATTCAATTATATTATTCGTTAATTCATTGCCATATTAATTATGCAAACACTGCTTGGGGTAGCACTTATAAAAGTAAACTTAAACCTCTCTATCGGCAACAGAAGCATGTAGCACACTTTATAAATTTCAAGAACCGTTTTGCTTACGTTAAGCCTCTTATATAATATGAAAGCACTCAATATATATATGAGCTAAATGTTTTTTATATTCTTTGTGTACTCTAATGATTTCATCATTGCGAATAAAAAGAATATTTTTTGAGGCTAGATAGCTCAGTTGGTTAGAGCGTCAAATGAAAAGTTAAAACCACGACTGTTGTACGATACGGGTTCAAATCCTGCCATCGCCAACTCAGCGCTTGATTAGTCCTTCTATACGCAAAAATGTTGGTCAATAACGAACGCAACTTTGGATTAGTCTTAATGACTAATTGTGGCTGTTTCTATGCTAAGCCAACAATATCTTCAGATATAAAATTGCATAGAAAAATATAGCATAAAAATTCAAATAAATAGATTAATAAAATAAATTTGTTTTATGTTTAAATACAAGGCCCACCTATCACTCTTTTCTTTTCGTAACTTGTATTTACAAAGAGATAGAAATAAATATATTATAAGGAACTATAACTTAATTCGACATTTTTATTTTGCGGAACATTTTTATGGAATAGTATAGTTCTAAATACTACTAAAGATTTTTCTCAAGAATGTAATTTTGATTCTTTTAAACAAAATCTTAAAAAATATTTTCATTTTTTCAACTGAAAATATACTAGCCGAATTTTAAATTTTTGAAAATCTCTTTAATCTATATTAGTATATGTAGAGTAAAACAGGGTAAAATGAAATAGCGGGTAGAACGAAATAGTTATGACAATGTTTATTCTTTCGCTTTTAATTAACTATTGAATAATTTTTTTGTAAATATTTTTTGATTCTATTGTAGAGAATATTTTTCTGAGTAAGATTGTATAAAATTTTATTTTTAATTAAAAATATTTTGCCATAAATTTATAAGTTTTTGAATGCGTATAAGATTTTTTTTATTTGTTTGAAAAGGGAACTTAAAACTCTCGGAAATAAAATTCGGTGTCATTGAACATAAAATGTTTACTAATACAACTTTTTACGCCGATCAAGAATCTTTTTTCATAATTAAATGCTATTAAGGAAAAAAAGCTTTGAGTTAAAAACGGAAACTGAGTGTTGCGGGGTTGAATGACATACGCTAATAAATAAATAAATAAATACAAGCACTTATTTCTTAAAAGCGGCTTTTTTTTTTATTAAGTGACCAATAAATCTCGAATTATAAATATTTTATATAAATTTCAATGAACGAATTTTTCCCCCTTAATTTAAATGACTTTTACTTACTGCTTTTATAAAATGCTTACCAGCTCACTCATCGCACTTTCTACAGCCTCTAGATGTTGGTGTTTATTGCCATGTCAAAAGAGTTTGGCGCAAATTACTTCAACAGGTTTGTGCAGAGGCAAAGTTTAGCAACTTATCAAAAGAATGTTTCAGTCACCTGCAAAAAAAACTTTTCAGCTCTGGTGAAGTTTTTACGCGTACCCAGATAGTCACTGGGTTTCAGAATACTGACTTGTTTCCACTCAACATCGATAAAATCGATCAGTCAAAGTTACAAATTTCTAATACATTCGAAACACCGAGATCTGAACCTGAAACTTCATTACCTCAACAACCAGAATTTATGATAGTGCCAAATCTAGCACCAAATCTAGCACCAGGAATTACACTACCTCAGCCACTGCCCTCTGAATCTACACCAACAACATCTAGCTTCAGCATATGTCATAAACAACCTTCAATATTGCAGTAACTCAGGCTATTCAAAAGGAAATTCAAAATGAGGTTGCAAAGCAGTCAGCCCAATCACTTGGATCAGCTTTGCAACAAATGTTTCGTATCCAACACGTTGACGCAAAAAATAAAAAATGTAAATGCGTCAAGATTCGAAGGGGAGTGTCTCAACAAACATGAAATACTTGAATGGTTGAAAGATTCTGAGAGCAAAAAAGCAGCAAAACAAGCTAAAAAAAAAACCTAAGCTTAGC